ATTTCAAATTACCATATAGCACATTATCTTAACTATGTAATAGTTAACTAGTAAGAACTATTTTACTTAATTTTAAAATGCTATGAGAACTCATTTAATTTCTTCCAAACTTGTGTTTCATTGTGGTTCTAATGTTCACTTCCCCAATAATTCATGAAGTTGGATGTATTTTTATATTTATTGGTAACTGGAACATTCTCTTTTATGAAAGTACCTTGAGACTTTCTCTGTTGAGTTTGTTGTCTACCTTTTTCTTACTGTTTTGAAGGGATTCTTTATGTATATTGGACAAACCTTTTCACTTACATACTGAAATATATGCCCCCTTTCTATTTTGCATTTTTACTCACTCAACAGCTATGGTTGGTAAACAAAATTTAAATTTTATTTAGTTCAATGTATTGATTTTTATGATGAGTGTTTTTAACAGCTTCTATATGAAATCCTTCCCTTCCCCTAGGTCATGAAGATACTCGTCTTGATAGTTTTTAAAGCCATACTTTTCCATCTTTCCTATTAATAGCTACAGTCTACCTGGCTTGAGGCTGGATTCAAAACATTTTAAAAATGTCTATTTTAGTGACCCAGTATTATTTAATAATAATAATAAATCCTCCCCATTTCTCTCTGTCAGTTCAGCTAGTGTTCACGTGTCCTGCATTCTTTCTTGTTCTGTTGTTCTATTATCTCTCCTTATTTCTCTTTTTGTCAGTGTTACAGTATTGTAGTCACTCTAGCGTTATGATTCATCTTATATACATGAGAACAAGCTTAACTACTTTTTCTCTGATCAGGAAAATCATGTTTATCTATACTGTATTTTAGAGTAAGCTTGTAATTTTGAAACCAACTTCCCCTCAGAACAAAAGAGGAATAATGCTGCAAATTTATGACCTTGAATCTATAGATCAATGTAGGCTGACCTTACATTTTTATTATATTGAATCTTCCAGTTCAAGAGGCTAATAATCTTCATTTGTTTTATTTTTTCAAAGAATTTCACTGTTTCTGAGCAAAGGCTTTTGTACATCTTTTGTGGGTTAGTCATAAACTGAATGTTTTGATATTGCTGTAAATTATAATGTTCTTAAATATATTTTTAATTTCTTATTACAAATGTATAGAAATTATTTAATTTTTATATTGAACATTCAGCAAATTTACTAAATTCACTTATTCTAATAGTACATGTAGATTATTTAGGATTTTCCACATGTATAATTTGTAGTCTGTAAAAAAGAGAGGTTTGATAGCTTCATTTCCATTTGTTTTATTTTCATTTCTCTTTTCTCTACTTGTATTCACTGTGAGCTCCAGTCAGTGTTGAGTCATGATGGCAGTTTGCACTTGACACATTTTTAATCTCAATATGTGAGCTTTCAGTATTTCACCACTGAATCCACTGAATATGATGCACCCTGTAGGTTTTCTTGTAGCTACCCTTTACAAGAATAAAGAATTTTCTTTTCTTTTTAGCTTCTTAGTTTTTTTTTTAAAGATTTATTCATTTATTCGTACAGAACTGGGGTACAGGCCAGAGATGCGGAGGGTGAGAGGATTCACCAGAGACAGAGTGGGGGGCAGAACAGGCAGATCAACAAGTACACTGCTGAGGGGAGCACCGGGCGGGTCAGGAGAGGTCTGCCTCACCATGTGGATCTCCTCCAGGGCAGGCAGGGATCAAACTCATGCGGAAGTGACTTAAGCTTCTTAGTGCTGTGCTTTAACCCGCTGCGCCACCAGGGAGGGCCGCTTCTTAGTTTTTTAGCATGAATGGATTTATTAAATAACTTTGCTCTTTCTATGGAGATAATCAGATAAGTTTTTTCCTTTATTTTATTAAAGTGAATTATAGCAATTGATATTTGAATGTTAAACCAGCCTTGTGTTTTTGGAATAAATCCATTTTGATCACGCTATGTTATCTTTTCCATATATTATTCAATTTTTTTTCTGCTAATATTTTGTTTAGGATTTTGGCATCTATGTTTATGAAGCGTCTGGAAGCGTCTGGTCCTATATAAACATAGCGACTGGTCCTTGCAATGTCATTACCAGGTTTTGGTATAAGGATCATGCTTGTCTCCAAAACTTTTCCAGTAGTCCCATCCCTCCTGTCCTTCACAAACTTTTCTTTGAGAGAGGTTGTATAATATTGGTGTTATTTCATCCTTAAATTTTGATAAAATTTACAGACAAGTTGGGCCCAATTTTTCTATTAGAGAATTTTTTTCTCTTTTGTTTCTACATTTCTTTCCTTGTGTTGGATTCTGAGTACTTTTACTTAATGTATCTATGTTTTACTTCCTTTATATTTATCTTTCTCGTGTTAAGAGAACATCTGGGATATTTAACTTGATATTTTTTACAAGCACTTTTTTCATCTTGCAAAATACTCTGTAGTCGTTGATGAGTAAATAAAGCAGCCATCTTCCTGTAATCACTGAGATAAAGTTATGGGGAAATCCATGAACCTGGACATGATTTTGTCCTTTATGGTGCTCCACAAAGTAATTAATGCACAGCAAGTTCTAGGATAGTGTCATATGAGATATTACATGATGATTAATATTGATTTTGTTGCAGTACTCTTTCTTTCTACCATATTAACATAACATGGTTTTCAAGGAAGTGAAAGTCTGAAATCCCTCTGTGTCCCATTGAGCAAACCTCAAAACCAACATGTGAAACTAAGACAAAAGTCATATACATACATTTGCTAAACTGAGCAGCAAAGCCTAAGGTTTAGACTTTCTCTGTGCTTTTCTTTGGATATTTTAATTAATTAATCTGCCACTTTTTCAGACATCCCTCTCACCTGTGTCACATAATTACCTCAGAGTTCTCCCAGATGAGAGGTTAGCCATCTAGCTGGAGTGCTAAGTGGATGGTGTCTCTAAGTGACGCCCTCAGAGATTGCTCTAGAGTTAAGTATTTTTTTTTTCTTACAGAATGGACATGTTTCTTTGTTCAGAGGAAATGGGGAGAATGTTACAAGTCATGATATTCTTGAAACTAACAGAAATTTAAAATTAGTTTGTCTTAGTATATCAAGTCTAGAAAATTTTGTAAGCAGAAGTACGATGACATTTAATTGGTTTTTCTGATATTAAAGAATTCGTTTCATTTTGGGAATTATTTGGTATTGGATTCTGTCTTTTAAAGACATCTTGTTTATTTTAGACTATACTGAAATATTTATTTATGAAATTAAGTTATATTTGGTATTTGCTTCAAAGTAATATGGGTGGTATATGGGTTAGGACATAGAAGAGATAAGAATGCTATGAGTTGGTATTTGTTGAGACTAGAAAATGAGTATTTAAGGATTCCTAATGCCAATCTGACAACTTTGGCATATGCTTAGAGTTATCCTAGTAAAAGCTAATAAAAATGAGTAAAATATTAAATGAATTAGCACCATCAAATCCCAGCTGGTTGGAAGAGGCCATGAATAGAGATTTAATTGGTGCTTTCTCAAGTTCTATGAAGAAGGGATTCATGGCTTAAATTTCTTTATATCTAAGCCTTTTATATTTTCTAACTGGATGAATAATCTTTTTTCTTGTTACTTTAAAAAAGCTGCAGTGAATAATTTGAGAAATATCATATACCCACGCAAGTTATATTGTGTTATTAACCTCTCAGTAAGTTGTGCCCATCATGTTCACTTTGTCTGAGCAGAAACCTGGATTCATTCTTGATTCTTAATTTCCTTCATCCTTATGTTTAGCTCATCACAAAATCTTAATTGGTTTCATTTCCAAAGTATACCCCATAACTGATTGCCTCATGCTACCTCACTCAGTCATCTGTCATTTACTGCCTACACAGATTCTGCCCTGGTGCCGTTTGTCCTTTTTCTTTTACCTGCCACCTGTTTCCCAATTTCTGTGAATGATGGGCCCTATAGATCTTGCTCAAGTTGTCATGTCTTGGGAAGTACCTTCTTAAGGTGTAGTTAATTCATAACACTGATTACAATCCACTGTTTTACTTGTTCATCATTTTGTTTCCTTCAGTAGAAGCCCTGTGTTCTCTGTTCAGAGTCTGTCAGTGCCCAACCCTGAAAAAACCACATTTGAGTGAAATTTAAAACATGACCAATTGTAAGATATTTTCTTATAATAAGTGCTACCAAGAAAAACAGTGCAAGTTAAACTGTGGACAGTGGGCCTCCCTGGTGGCTCAAGGGGTTAAGTCGCAATACTATGAAACTGTCTGCAGCCACTGCAGCATGAATGTGATCCATGACCAAGGAGGTGACCCACATGGTGCAGCAAACCTCTCCTATCTTGCCAGCTGCTTCCTTCAGCAGTGTATTTCAGTATGCTTGCCTGTTCTCTTCACTCTGTCTCTGGTGAATCTGCTCACTTTCTGCACATCTGACTTGTATCCCAGCTCTTACATGCATAAATAAATAAATATATAAGAAAATAAATGGTAGACAGTCTTAAAGACTATTTACTGTCAGATAGTTTGGACTTTTGAGATACTAAAATGTTGGAAAAAATGCACCATTGAATTGATGAAATATGTATATTATAGAAAAAGTAAGTGAAAGCATTTAAAGTAATTATGATTACTTGGTTGCAAGTAATAATTTGAGGAAATAATTCTGGAAAAGATGGACACATGGAATCCAAGAGATACCAGTCTTGGGAGGAACTTATGAGAAAAGGAATATAATATTAGTATCAAGTATGAGTAATTCATAAGTTGCATAGTGTAAAATACTGGCTTACCAACAATGATTCAAAGTGTGTAGGTCTTGGGTTGGCCAGAAAACTTTGGAGAAAAACATTTTATAGTGATGATTATTTTGGTACAGTATGAGATAGGTGCCAATGTGGTTACTAATATTTTAGGAATCTTGAAAAGTGAGGGTAATTCTTTACTGCAATGCTGAAATAAACTACACTGAATGGGAAAAAAAAGAGATTGCCTAATAACCAGAAACTTTTTTTTGTTTTGCTAACACCCATCTACTCTTCACACAGGTGCAACTTGGCCAAGTAGAAATCAAATGCCCTATCACAGAATGTTTTGAATTCCTGGAAGAAACAACGGTTATCTATAACTTAACACATGAAGACTCCATCAAATATAAGTACTTCTTGGAACTTGGCCGTATTGATTCCAGCACCAAACCATGTCCTCAGTGCAAGCACTTTACAACCTTCAAGAAAAAAGGACATATTCCCACCCCTTCCAGATCAGAAAGCAAATACAAAGTAAGCATGTTCACCAGAGTTGTGGGTTAGATGTCACATGATGGGAGCAGCCAAATTAGGCCAACTTGTGGTGGGCATTAAATGGGCTCCTTCCCTTACTCGAGTCTGAGGTGAGTATATAATGGCTGTGGTTCTGAAAATGTACGGTTTGGGGAAGTTGATGATAACTGAATATTCTCAAGGATTTAATTTCAGCATTTTCATTGACTTTAACCATGTTTAAAGTTCATCTCATAGCCTTATTAAAAGGCTGGTCTATAGAATAATGGTCATTTATATTATTAATATTCAATAAATTCCAAGGCCCTTTCAAAAAAAAACATAGCTTGATTTTTTTCAATGGATCCAATGTGAGACTTCTCAGCTCTGCCTGTAATAAGTAAAAACAGTATAAAATGTTATTCATTAATTATTGGCAGGTACAAATGCCAGTGTTTGAACTGAGCTAAATTGAGGCCATAGAGGCAAATGTGACATAAGCCTTGCTCCAAAAAAAATCTAATGAAGATTAGAGATATATGATCTAAAGTGACAGTTATTTGGGTCATCAAGAAAACTAACACAAACAAAAAGACCCACAAAATCCATCACATTGTGTTTTGAGAACACCAACAGAGAAGTAGGGTCAAGGATGTTCAGAGAAGCTTTGGAAAGAAGATGCAGTGCTCAGGAAGAGCATTTCAGAGAAAAGGATGAGCAAACATTCAGTTTCAGATGCCGAGTCAGGCTGTTTGGAAGTGAGTATTCGTAAAGCTAATGGAGAAAAGAGAAGGTGAGATTAAGGCAGAGAAACAAGCCATCAACTGTGGGAGTAAATGATTGATTCCGTCATGACTGGATTAAGTGTCACCTGATGATCATTTTACCTCCCTCCCCACTCACCTCAGAACAATTTCCTTATAAATTTTTGAGACCTGGGAGGTAACTTTAATATGCAGCAAATTTGGGAACCTTTGCAGTAAATGAAGCAGACAAATGATGAGGGCTGTGGCAGTAGTTTTCATCCTTGTCATTACAGCAAAATGGCAGGATGAAGTGGTTTCAAGGGCTGTTTCAAGTCATCTCCATTTAAGGTAAGTTTTTTTTGCCCATGTTTTGTATGTTGGAAGCAGTGGTGGAAAATTTATTCTGTTGCTCTGAGGAGGCTAGGATTTAGGAAGTAGTTCCCTCCATTTTTGCTATGATGAACTTAAGTAGTTGCAGGTTAGTCAAAGACTGGATGAGTAACTGGTCTTTGAAACTGCTTAATTTTCACTTCTAATTTTTTTAGTTATGATTTCTATGTAGAGTAGTCTCTTTAAGGCATGATTATCTGTAAAATGTTTTCTTCAAATAGCTGGTTTTAAGATTGCACAGTGACATAGCTAAAATAACATCCTCACATTTATTTTGACTGCTGATTTAACAGCAAGATACATTTTATTTGACTCCACATTCTTAGGTTATTTTAAGTCATTTTCATTGCAATTATATGTTATTAATATTATCAGGAACTTACTAGTTTCTAAAACGAGTGCTTGTTACTTAATAATGTAGAATATTTGATATTCTTAAATAATATTTAGAATTATATATTATTTACATTTTACATGTTTGCTTATATAGCTAATGTGTATGATATATGTGTAATCTATAAATATGTAATGAAACTCAGACTATTTGTTTTAAATTTGTAACAATCAAAACATGTATACATAATTAAGTCAAAATGGAAATAATTGAGTCATTTTAAAATGTAATATTCTTACGAAATGGGTAAAAGGAGTAAAGTACAATTATAGAAATAGAAAATATGTCTCACCTCATTTAAATCACCAAATCATGTTGTAGTATTTATCACAGTGCATATGTATTGAGAGTAAAATACTGAAAAATATAAGGCCCTGCACTGTATCAGTCTAAATAAACCAAGGGTACTCTGATAACAATTCCTGATGGTCAAACTTCCTTCAGTGTCTTATCAGGTGGGTTGAAGTAAAAAAGAGAAGTCAGGGACAAGAGTTCCAAGTGATGAAGATCTCAAATGTAGTAAACTCTTTTCTTTTTTTTTACTTTTTATGAACATAGGAGAAGGAAATTTACTTCAGGGAGAGAAAAACTCAGTACAAAATAAATATTGTTTATCATGAAACAGATAATTAGTGGGAATGAGTGAGGGTTAAAAATCTATATATAAAGTGAAACTACTGAGCAACTTTCAACAAAAGTAAAAGTACCAGAGAATTTTTTTATGGATCTTAATTTATTCACTCTTGTAGGAGAGAAGGTCTATAACAGGAAAGATAAAAATCTCCCTGGTCTTTGTTGTGTAGAGTTGTTGATATAATTCAGACAGTTCCTGAAGCAGTGACACTATTTAGAACAATATTTATATAGATTTTTCACCATTAAACACCATGTTCTTACATAAACATTAACTACCCAGTTTACATGCCCATTTCTACCTGCACATTATGCTTTAAGGAGAGATCTGAAAAGGATACTCTACAGACTAAGTCTGACATTCATAAATAAAGTACAGCACTATAAATTGAAGCTAGTATCTTCACTCTTTGTGGTGAAGTAATGGATATATTGTAATTCATTGTATTTTTAAAATTCAGTTTTCCCAATAATGGAATCTACTTCCAAATTGGTGGTAGTTTGTCATAACTTTAAGAACACTGAGTTCAAGTAATGAAGTTCAATAAATTGAGTGGAAGACAACAATAATAGAAAAATAAAGGTTACTGTAAAGTCTAACATGCCTAAAAAATTAAAATCTCAATAATATTGCTTACAGTCTGAAGTGTGTTCCGTAACTATTGATAAAATCTTCATGATGTGTATTTCAATATTATTCATTTTTGAGTCATTGGTGAAGTATTTTCATCCAAGACATCACTGTCTGAGCATTCATTATGGTTTCTATAAACAATGTAGAAACACTTAGTACAGAAAGTTAAAACTGCTTAAAAGTATCACAGTATTTTATATCAGAAAATACTTTAGCACATCTTGAGGAAATTTGAATTCTGAAATATGACATTTGGGAGTTTAATTTAAAAAGATTTTTGTAAATATTGCTTGTTAATTTTTTGTACTCAGTACATAGAAAATGGGTAAACAATATATCATCAGGCAATAAGAGGTCCCCATTTATCTTTCTAGGCTCAGCAACTGCTTCTGGTATAAGTTTGAGTAAATGCAGTTTTTCATGGTGTTCTAAACTCCATTAAACTGATACTACATCACCTAGATCAAGTATATTCTTGAATTGAGAGATGAACTTGAAGCAACCTTGCCTCTGGTCACATTTAACCTTATTTATATTTCTGACTTTTAGCACCTGTCCCTCTTACAGTGAGGCCAAAAAACGTTTTCCATTTCCCCCCTTTTTTTCTTTTAAGATTTACTTATTTATATATACCAGAACTGGGAGGCAGGACAGAGGTGTGGGTGTTGAGAGGATTCATGAGAGACAGAGTAGGGAGCAGCACAGCCAGAACAACCGAAATACACCACAGAAGGGAACAGCAGGCAGAACAGGTGAGGTTTGCCACCCCATGTGGGTCACCTCCCTGTCTGGGAATTAAACTCTTGCTGCAGTGGTTCAGACAGCTTCAGAGTGCTGTGCTTCGACCTGTTTTGCCACTTAATTTCCAATTAGAAATCTAGTTTCTAACCTATGGCGTTCCTATAATTTAGTGACAAAACTACAAACTGCTTATTAGTACTGATAACAAGATAGAAGTGGGAAAATAAAAGTGTTGAAGTTGTGACTATAAAGGTGTACGTGTGAGATCTGGAAAAACATCACCAGCATTTAAAATTTTTCTCTATAGTAATTATCATCTGGATTTTACGGTGTATTTGTGTAGCTGTTTGCTTAAAGTCCCAAGTCCCATTGGTCTCTAGGAGACCAGGCTTGCTTACTGCTGATGACCTGTGTCAAGCACAGTCTAATAGAATATGCCCCCAAAACATATTGTTGAAGGAACTAGTAAATGGATCAATGCATAAATAATGTGTACTATAATAAATATATATATGTGGTGAATGCTAGAAGCATAGGAAAGGAAAAGACAGAAGAGATTGGGAGACTTCATTAAAAGGTAAACATTAAACTAAACCTGAAGTGTTCATTTTGCTAAACTGGAAAAGATAGGCAAGAGAGCTTCAGACTAGATTTAAAATTTAAGCATGCCACATAGTACAATAGCTGTGTAATCTTAAATTCAGTTTCTACATTTTCCAACTGTCATAAAAGTGTAGTAAGAATGATATGGGATACACATTTAAAGTGCTTAGCACCATGTTGACCTCTCTCAAGTGATTAACACATGCTAGAAATTATGATGATTTTTTGATCAGACAAAGAAAGCAAAAAGAGAAACTTGAGTTGTTGAGAAGGGAGTGGAGAAGTTAGAAAGAATCGAATTGGAATAAAGATTGGGTGACTGATGGGTGATAGACATAATGGAGTGATGAAGTGGACTGGGTCTTGAGGGAGAGAAGCAGGTTTGGGGAGTGGAAAATAACTCAGTCTGAAATATATTGATGATGTTAGGTTTGAAGGCCTTTGGTAGCATCAAAGAGGAGATCTCTAGAAAACACGATAGCTATGACTGTAGTCTGACAGAATTTTTAATATTTGGCAGGGGTGAAGGGAGGGATTGAATTCACAAAAATGAAAACAAATGCTCTAAAAATTAGGAAAAGTTGACTCTCCCTGGTGGCACAACTGGTTAAAGCGTAGCACCATGAAGCTCACAGCAGCTGCTTCAGCCAGAGCTCAGTGCCAAGAAGGTGACCTACATGATGCAGCAGACTTCTCCTGTCTCACCCGCTGCTCCCCTCAACAGTGTACTTCATCAGTCTCTCTGTTCTGCTTTCCACTCTGTCTGGTGGATCCTTTCACTGTCCCTGCACCTCTGACCTGTACCCCAGTTTTGTAGCATAAATAAATAAATCTTTTTTTAAAAAAGTAGGAAAAATTATAGCTATTGTTCATAGAGGAG